TTTACTAACAGGTACAACCAGTTTTGCCCCATTCCTGTCATACCTTATCTGCTGTGCTTGAATAGATAAGCTCTGCTCTGGGGGAATACAGACCAGAAAAGGAGGAAAAGGGAATTCCTATCTGGATTAGCTCAAAATGGGTCAGTGGGAACTGAATGGAGTCATCCATCCCTGAACAAAGTTCCTGGGAGATTTCTGCCTTTTGCAGTGACTTGACATGAACTTTTAACAATCAGGCACTCAAGAGGGGTGAGATGTGAAAAGACTGTTCCTGCCCTACTGCAAGTTACCAGAGGGAGGCAAAGAGGCTAACCTTAATTAAATGCTATTACACAAACCTCAGCAAATGTGGTTTCAGAAGTTGGCCCTCGTCCCCAAAGAAGCTGCCTGCTCTTTTAGCTGGGCCAGCTCGACTGCTTGTGGCCATTTGCCAACTCTGGTCTCTGAACCATTCACCAGAACACGATATCTGTGAAAAAATGTGCATCTCCTTCCTTTCAGCGTGGCCCAAGATCATAAAATCAGCCTAGAGAGGGTCAAAAAGCACTTAAAGAGCAGTGGCCACTGGAAATAGGAGGAGGTGGTGAGTTGACAGCCCTGCAGCAGCGAAAGGAGCAGCTGGACTGCAAAACCAAAAGCACCCTGGCTCACATACTCCTTTGCCTAAAGCTTACAAAACACCATCAGTTGACCAGAAGGTTTGCTTCTTTTGGAAAACCTCGTAAATCACTGCAACTACACCTGTTCAGTCCTCAAGAGAGATTCAAGTTCTCCTGAAAATCGCTGGGAGGACCATCAAGAAAACACACCAACGCAGAAGTCCAGCTTCCCAGCTGAAGAAGGCACAACAATACCCAATGCCTACAGCTCTCTCCCATTTCTGTTGAGGCAGGGCCAGAAACCTGCAGCACATAACTGTGGAATAGGGTTGTCCTTACTGTCAGTAGATGGTGTGAGGTTTTCCACCCTTGTAAAAAGCATCACTTACTTTAATATCTTGACCCCAAGTTTTGCTTGCCATCTGGAAAGCACATTTTGCAAGCTACTGCAAGATTCTGTCACTGATTACATCCTTTGGAGTGTGGCGCACCTTACCCTGATTTCCATCACTTGAAATTTCTGGTCTGTAATCACTCTGATCATTGTTCTGCTAAAAAATGCAGAAATGTATCGAAACAATCCTGTACCCTCCATTCAGCAAGGAGCTTCTAGTGTGGCATTCATACATACACACACACATACTAACTGGCTGTCATTCAAATTGATCTCCTTGAACAGAGGCCACTATCCCCATTTATTTTCTCATTTGTTATATGATTAAATTCTCACAAGAAAAGAGATATTTTTGGTGACTGGAGGCATCTCCAGACCTTTTGGAATCTACAGCAGAGCACAACAAGATTTAATAATGAGGTAGCTGTCTAAATGTTTTTTACTTCTATTGAATAAAAAAAAAGACGACGAATATCCAGGTTTCAGAACCTACACCACATTACAATCAAGGGCAGAAAAGTGACTTATTTAGGGCTTAAAATTTAAAACTATACACACCTATTACTGGTTGGTAATCTCAGCTGGTTTGGTATAACCAAATAGGGCAGAAAACATGTTTTCAAAACCTCATCTGTAGGTTGAAGCAGAGTCAGGCAAGGAGGGCAGATTCCAGATCAGGTTGTGAGAACGAGGGCTCATCAGACTGAGTGCATTTGGTTTTAAACAAAAAACAGGTCGGAGTGAAAGTTCAACTTTTCTTAAGAGGAGTCCTTTGTGTCCAAGTTACTCCCAGCTCAAGCTTGCTATCAACACTGCTTCTGACAATCCTCAGCCTGGCAGCAACTGCTGTAAACTCTCATCACAAGAGCACTCCCTAAGTTAGCCAAGCTTACAGAAACTCTTCATTCAGTATTTTTTCAATTTGCTTTACTTTTAATCTTCTTACACCACAGGATTTTTTTCCCAAATCCCCAGAATTTAAATCCAATAACACACAGCCCTAGACTTACATGTTAAAACCACCCCAGACAGCTCACCTAACAACTTCAGTGAACCTATTACCATATATAAACCCAATTATATTTTTATCAGTAGCAGTCTAGAACTTCATCTCTTCATTGCCTGGATGTAAGGAGGTATGTAAGTGACTGCTGGTTTAATAGAGTCTATGTACTAATATAGCATACAGATGTATATATACAGTGATTTTAATGTAGTACATTAAATATGCAAATATACTGGGGGGTTAAGTATATTTATATATTATATGATACCTCAGGTGGGTTTAATGCATTATGTGTATGCATACACGTACACATGAACATTTGAATAATATGATTTTTATTTATTAAACCCAAATACAATCTTCTCAACTTCTGGTTACTGCGTATGTTGACACATGTCAAAAACGACAGAGTATTCAGGACTAAGAATGTCAATTAAGCCTAGAGACATTGCCTTAAAAATAGACAAATAACAACTTGGAGATGTTTCAATGTAGAGATGAACTGACCAATCCATGGATGGAGGAGGCTGCTCAGCAAGGTGGTGCAAGTTCTGTCCATAGAGCTCCATTTTCAAGACTCAACTGCTGAAAGTCCTGAGCAGCCTGGTCTGATCCCAGAGCTGAACGCCAAAAGCCTGCTTTGGGTACAGAGTCAGCCCAGACCTCCTTGACAGATCCTGTGACCCTATCTACTAATTTCTTGACCAAGTCTCCACACCCAACAGCTTGTGTTAATTATTTTACTGAGTCACTAAAAATAATTATTCTGCTCAGACAAACAGCTGTCAGTTTGTCAAGCAATTAGATGAAGTTACTACGTTCTTCAGCTATTTTGCTAAGCTTTGTATTGGAAAAGGACTACCAATTAAAAGAAATTGTCATACCTTTTCTTCATACAACTTATAAACCAAACTGTTTATTATTCCTCACAGTTTATTAAACACATGCAAAGAGCAAGTCATGAAAAGCCAAAGGAGAGCTATGCTTCTTGTGGGTTTGCCATATAATTCAGCACTGATCAATTAAAACTGGATAGGGGAGATGGCTTGTGTCTGTCACACAAACAGCTCATGGGGAAAAAAGTCAAGTTTAACAACATGAAGATCTTGTAAGCTTCCTCACGTTTTCATACGTGTTTTGTGAAGAAGGACAGCAGCTGATAGTGTTTTTTCCACAGAAAAGGCATTTGAAGATTATTCGAGTCTCAAAATTGCCTGTTGCTCATCAAACAAGAGACAAACGAGGGAGCAAGGGAGAAGCTTCTTTTTTTACTCTGTCACTTGTCCATTTGATTGCCAAGGATCCTGGTGGAGCAACAGATCCCACAACCCCACACAGCCACCCACCCCAACATGGCAGCATCTTAAAAGGAAGTGCAAAAGGGACCCTGCAACAAATGCAAGCCTCCGCCAGGGGAATTTGGGAACAGAATCAACAGAAAGAGGAACTGTAAGTCTATAATGGAAACAAAAAAAAGGCTTCCCTCCTCTTCCCACACTAAAAAGTCATTTCTCGAAAGATCTACTGTGAAACTAAGCAATGAAGAAACAAATATTTGGAGCCTTCTACTAAAAATAAACAAACAAACAAACAAATATTAAACAAAAATATGAACCTACAAAGCACATTACCCAGTTTCAAAAAAACAAAAACTCTGTCAAACAACATCCTTTTTGTCAAAATGTGATGGCCTGCCTGTATGATATCAATGTCTTAACAACTTCATTTCAGTCAGCTGGTAAAGGAGTCTTGCTTAGAAACATAAAGCTAGAGTATCAAGCAGAACAGGCATGGCAGAAATCCTGATAACCTCAGTGTGCTAACAACAAGAAATCTTGATTTGTAAGTCAGGATCATTCACACAAACTCACAAGGATAGTTACTGTCTGTTGTATTTACTACTGAAATCAGAAAATTATTGAAATGAGATTAAATGCCAAAACAGCTACTGCAGAATATGATGACAGCTCTCGGCCAATGGATTTTCTAACCCCAGTGAGTATGATTCACATGAGTGTCAGAAGCAACATGCTAAGCAACCACGGCATCACCAGAACATCACTAAGAAATATTTCCTTTAGGGATGCATAAATTAATACTAATCTACTTGTAATTTTAGAAAGGAATTCTTTATGTGTAATATAGAAAGAATTTGTTTTGTTCCTGCCTTTCTTCTTCCTTATACCGTTCCCCGTGGAAAGCAAAGCATAGGTTCTTTGCTGCTTTCCAGAAAGCATTTGTTAAAATGGCAGGAAAAGCACTTCATTTCAGAAAAGAGATCTACAGAAAATCTAATTCAAACATCAAAATTTCACCCTTTAGCATACAAAGACAGTCCAAGCACAGAACATGCACACATGCAATTTCTATTATGAAATATTTTAGTGTTATAAAAGCAAGTGGCTTGTTCAAAACATCAACCTTGGAGTGTCAAGACTGACAAATGCCTGATCATAAGACCACCAGATGCTGAAACCCACTCCGCCATCAAACATACTGGATAAATACAAGCCTCAAACATTCATATGGAATGACAGAACAAGACTGAAAGCTTCTGCAGAAACATCAATGCCCATTTCAGTAAATGTTTCCAGGCAAAGTATGTCACTGAAAATTCTGACTATCACTAAGGCAGACACCGTTGCAGAGGTCTCTGAACACGGACTCTCCCCTGAACGGTTTTGTGCAAAATCCAAACCCCTTTCTTCCAAGCACCTTTACAGTGGAAATACCCACACACATCTCTACAAGGCTAGGGACAGGGACCCAGCAAAAACGCCCATCCTTCTGTGGTCTATCCCAAAGCACGGTCTTAACTATAAAACCTCATTTTTTTACTTCAGCTGCGCATCCAAGGCAGAGATTTCTTTCTATTGCATTTAGACAACAAACGGTTGCAAGAAGCTGCTAAAACCCAAATGAGCCTTATAACTGGAAGCCTTAAATGTCTGTACAACTGCTCAGCTTGATACGCCCTGCTCAGTGTTGGCAAGATCACGCCTCAAAGCAAGAGCCTTGGCGGCGGGGATGGAGAGCGGGTGTGAAGCCGTCCCCTCTCATCCACCGCCTACAAGGGTCCCTCCCGGGAAGGACACCTGAGCCGCGGGCCGGCATCCCATGCTCGGGGGGAAAGGAGCCCGAGCTTCAGCCTCTGCTTTCAGCCCAAGCGCTGTCATCCACCTCACCCCCACCCAGCCCCCGAGCCCCCCGGGGCAGAAGGGGGAACTGAATTATCACTAGAGGAGGACAGAAGCCGATGTCTCAAGGCCGAGGGATGGCAACCAGGGACCGAAGGAGACCAGGAGGTGACTCACCCCTCCCACACCTTTTTGGGGGGGCGGGAAGGCGGGGGAGGGAACGGACACCCAGCCGTGTCGGCTCCTCCTTCGAGCTCCGGGCTTGCGCTGCCCCGACCCCGCGGGGACCGCGGTGCGCGCACAGCCCCGGCCGGAGGGGTGGCGGGGGGACCCCCTGGCCCCCGCCCCACACAGAGGGGGACTCGGCCAAGGTGCGGCCCGGTCGGAGGGAGCCGGGCAAGGAGGGAGGGAGGCAGGGAGGGAATGAGGGAGGGCAGGGGCGGCCGCGGAGGGGCGCGGGCAGCCGGCGGCCGCAGCGCGCACGGCGGCGGCGCCTCCTCTGCTGCACTGCAGAGGCGCCATCTTCCCGCGCCGCCGGCCCGCGGGGGGGCAGGGCCGGCCCCGGCCGCCGCCCCCCGGGCACCGCCTTCCCGCGGGGCCGCTGCGCCAGCCGGCGGAGAGCTCCCTCCTTCCCTCCCGCCGCCCCGCACACCTGCGCTGCCCTCCCCGCGGCTCCCCAGCCCGCAGCCCGGCCCCCGCCCCAGCGGGGGAATGCCACGGGGTCCCCAGTCCGCAGCCCAGTTCCGCGCCCCCGGTCCCCGCCCCTTCGGGGGATGCCACCGGGTCCCTCGCCCGCGGAGCTCCCGCTCGCACGGAAACTTTCCCTTTCCCGGTCCCTGGCGGAGACGCCCCCGACCTGCCCTGCCCGCGGACCCCGCGCTGCAGCCCCGGGCGGGCGGCGGGCGAAGTTACGGGGCAGCGCCGGGGCCGCGGGACCAGCGCAGGAGCCGGACGTGAGCGGCGGGGGCGGCGGCGCCATCCCCGGCGGCTCCCAGCCCGCTCCCGCCCCGCCGCCCCGGCTCGCCGCCCCTATTGTTCGGCGGAGGGGGAGCGGCGGCAGCCGGGGATGGAACCCCCGGGGAAGGCACCCCCCGCCCGCCCCGCCGCGACCGAGCCCCTGCCGCGGGGGCGGCTGCGGGCAGACAAAGCCGCGGAGAAGCGGCGGAGGGCGGCGGGGAAGCCCCCGCCCGGCCGCCCCCTACCCCGCTTACCTCGAGAGCCCGGGCGGCGCCGGCGGCCAGCAGCAGGAGGGCTAAGTGGGGCAGCATCGCGGCGACCGGGAGCGGGGAGGGAGGGAGGGAGGAATGAAGGAAGGGAAGGAGGGATGCCGGCCGGCGAGACGCGGCGGGGTCCGGCTGTAAATCCGCGGAGCCGCTGCGCTGCCGGGGAACGCGACTGATGTGCGGCGGCTCCGGGAGCGGCGGCGGGGCCGGTCAGCTGATGGCCCGGCCCGCCCCCGAGCGGGCGGTGCGACCGCCCGGCCCGGCCCGGCCCGGCCCGCGGGGACCCCTGGCGGCGGCGGCGGGAGCGGCGCGGGAGCCCCGCACCGACCCTGTCCTGCCCGCCGTGTTCCCGGGGCAGCTCCCGGACCCTCCTCGGGCACCGCCGGCACCAAAGGCACCGCACCCGCGGGGGCCGCGATGCCCCAGTGCGCTGAACACACGCACCGCAGCCTCCCCAAAAAGGGCTGCGTACGGAAACATCGTTGCAAGGTGCGCACAAAAACGCCCAAATCCCAACGTGTTGTGTGATTTAGTGGCTATTTAACACGTTCTGCCTTTCCTGGCAAGGTTGCACACCATCCTGGGATCTCCCGTTCTTGTCCGGGTGGAGGTGATGAGTCAGCACAGCCCCTTCACACCTGACACACACCACCGATAACAAAGATATGCAGGAGCATCCGCACAGCTGGGGCTTATGGCAGGTGAACAAGGAAGAAATCAAATTAAAATGCAGGACTTTGTCAAATACCATGTAATCAAGAGGCCAGTGCAAACTTACTGTCTTGCCTTCTCAACAGCATTGTTATAATTGGTATATTAAACCTGTAACGAGAGTTTAAGAGTCAGTATTAGCAGTTTCATGTTGAAAGAGCTGCTATTATAGCCAAAATTCAATGTGACACAGCCTGAGCCATTCTGCCTCTGATCTGCAGACTCGGTGGCAGCATCTCTGCTCCCACCAAGGCTACCAAGACAGCAGCAAATAGACCCGCCCTGCAACACAAACCTGCAGCCACATAAGGGGCAGGTGGTGGACATCTGGAGCACAAGTCTTATGAAGAGAGGCTGAGGGAAATGGGGGGGGCTCAGCCTGCAAAAAAAGGAGGCTTGGATGGGACCCTCTCATTTTTTGTGACTACCTGAAAGGAAGGTGTACCGAGGTGGGAGTCAGCCTTTTCTCCCAGGTAACAAGTGATAGGACAAGAGGAAACGGCCTCAGGTTGCGCCAGGGGAGATTTAGGTTGGACATTGGGAAAAATTTCTTCCCAGAAAGGGTTGTCAAGGAACAGGCTGCCCAGGGAACTAATTGACTCATGAACTCAGGAGGTATTTAAAACATGTGGATGTTGCTCTTGGGGACATGGTTCAGTGGTAGACTTGGTAGTGCTGGGTTAATGACTTCATGGTCATAGAGTTCTTTTCCAGCCTAAATGATTCTGTGATTCTGGGGTATGATTCTTTGACATCCCCCCCAGAGTACGGCTCAGTACAGCCTTGTCCTCGCTGCCGCTGTCACACTCATCTTCCACTGAAGTCAGAACTGCAATCCATCTTGGCCAAAGCTGTGTCCAGATGCAGATGGATGCCTTCCAGGTGAGAGCAACCTGGGCTGCTGTGTCAGGTGGCTGTAATGTGCAAAGAGAAACTGTAGTGCTGCAGTGTTTTACCTCCATAGCCAGGTCCTAGCGTTAGAAGACCATTCTCACGTAGACATGAATCTTCTCATACAAGCTTATGAACTGGCTTTTGGGGAATTGCTCGAGTCACACTGGCTGGATTTGAGAGATCTCTGATAGCCATATAACAGATGAGCCTCCTCCCTGAACATACAGGTGTAAAGTATACACAACAACTACAGATGTACAGTATATACAACAAGTACAGTATATACAACAAGTAGATGCTTTTAAGAAACACACACTAGTGACACAACACAACCTGTAAATTAAAATTAGTTCAACAGCAACAATGGCATGCTTAGCTGCAATAATTCAACACTGTCGTCTGCTCGTTAGGATAGTCGATCACATGGCTTTGAAGGGTTAGGGAAGGATTTGTTTTAACCAGTTGGCTTCTAAACTCAGCCATTGGAAAGGCAGAACCATGGCTGCAAATAAGCAACATCCTGATAAAGCTGATGGAGATCATTCAAAAACAATTCTTCCCTGAAACAATGGAGGCAATCAGAAGGAAGCTCTTTGCAAGTTCTGGGGAAAAAAAAAAAAATTAAGCTTCCAGATGGGATGGATGGAAAACCAAAATAGATTCATGTAGCCCTTTTATTTTAAGTTGGCTGGGTAGCTTTTTGTAATCACTTCTTCCTAGTGCTAAAATCAAAAAGCATTTCAGCTGCTGTTTCTCTGGATCAGCCAAGCCTGCTTCCTTTGTCAAAGTGGGTCTGCAGGAAGGCTGTAGGTCCATTTTGCCTGTGGTTATGAGTGAGATTTCACACCTTTGGGGAGAGCAGGAAAGGCTCAAGTTAAAAGATGGGGAAAAGTCAAAGGTACTGGGAGACCTCTATGAAATAGGTGTTTCAATTTACAGCCACTAAACACCAGTGACAATATTTGCTTAGGATTTCATGAAGTTACCCACTGGAAGGTCAGGAGTAAATGCAGTTTTGAAAGCTGTTTGTAAGATCTACAAAAAAAGGACCTGACCTGCTGGTAGAGAAAATAACAGAGATTGTGTCCTATATTCCACTCTCTATCTGCTTTTAGGATTTGTATGGAAAGTCCAATACACCTTTTGCCTTGCTTTTTGTACTTTTCATCTCAGACTAGAAATCCAGCCTTATCAGACCTTGGAAGCTGTCATAGCTGGAGAACAATGAAGCCCACTACCACCTCACAAGAGGGCAAACAATGGAAATCTTCTTCCCAAAGAAGCAGCACAGGTCGGATCACAAAAAGATAGGGCTTACATGCAAATCTAATACAATGTTTCCAGCAAATAATCCCGAACTGTGTCCAAATGTGATTTTGCCTTTAATTGCTGAGCTTTGTTATTCAATCTTAATGTGATAATTTTCCAAGTGATAAGCAAGCATGTATGTCAAGTTTCATTTTTGGCTATTTCTGTGCTCTGCCTATGTATCTTCTAGTGCAAATGATGTCTAATGTTGTTTTACAGCCTTTTCATTCTAATATATTATGTATGTGCAAACATTGTTCAGCCATTCAGTTTTTCATTGAATACTCATGAAGCAAGTGGACCTTATCCACAAATGCTGATATTGCTCTACAATAGGCAATAAACCACTTCAACCTGCTTTATAACCTAATGAATTAGAGAACAGAACTTGTACGTGGTTTCTGAAGGGGGACGGGCAGCCCGTGACATGGACAAAATGACAGCATTGCCAAATATCTCCAAATACGTGCAAGTGGTTTTACAGGAACCCTGCCACTTACCTATGTTCACTGGATTTCTGATGGTGGTGGCTTATTTCATTCACACCAACAAAATTAGTGTAATTAGTGCAATTGTCAGCTGTATTTTATTTGTATTAGAGATACTTTCTCAGACAGATTCCTTCTGAACAATGCTGCAGCCAGTGCTTTCACAGAGATGATTTCTCCATTTGTTCTCATCTCTGAGGAGAGGGTTCCAAGTTGGCAAACTTGATTTTTGGGCCAGACTGATGCTGACTCACTGTCTCCTTCTGGAGTCGCTTCACTTCAGAGCTCCCCATTTTCTTTACAAGGGATAATACTGTTTCCCTGCCTTTGTGATTCATGTGGGGAACAGAACAAAGTACTAGGGTTAGTATTTCTGAATGAACCTCTGCAAGTTAAAGACTCAGGTCCTAATGAGCTGGCACCTTCTGTATTAGTCCCAGTTAAGGAGCTTTTCTGTACTCTGAAAAGTACTACAGCATAAATGACCAGATTTATTTCAGACAAGTCTAGGAGGAATTTGTATTTTCAAATAGCACAACATTAATTTTAATGCAAAACCTTTAGGCTTTATGCTGCACCTTGAACCACTGCAGATATAACCAATCTGCTCACCATCATGCAAGTGTCCTCTACAAACAGGTTTTTTTTCCCTTTGGAGTCAGCCTGCAGCCCTGAGAAAGAGGCTGTCTAAATATTAATCCAAAATAGGAAGAAAGAGATTGTACCTAATCAACCCTACACAAGTACGTGCTGTTATCCACAACAATGGGTGCGGATATGATTTCAAAGAGTGAACAGTTGATCCTTGTCTGAATTCTGCAAAGCACCTTCAGTTTTGGCTTTTACAGATGCAGTACACAGTTAGGTAGCCAGTAGCCATAGCGACCTTCTCAAATGCAAATGATTTGCTCTGCATAGCACAGGAGTATTAAGAGTTGATGATATCTGCTGGAGCAGGTACACAATACAGACGACAGAGCCAAGTGAATAATGAAATCGCAGTCCAAAATCCCAGGAGTGCTCAGCCAAGGAAATGAAATGGAGATGTGAACAACAGTAATTGCTCCAGTGATTAGGATGTGAACATACATGGACACCACTCCATGCCAAACAAACATGGTGGTATTATGACATCTCCCTTCGTTGGCAGAAGCTGTCATTCTCACCGATGGTGTCAGTAAAGGGGAAATCTTTAGGATATCTGCTTCTTCATTTGATTCTGTTTACCCAATCACTACATAATGCAAATATTCCTAGCAGAATCAGAGTTTAACATTTATTCCTTTCTTTTTTCTTCCCCACTTCATGCACTGAATCTTCCTAGGTATTTTTGGCCTCGTGCCTTGTGTGGTCAGTTTACTAGGCAAGTATTGCAGGTGCAGGCTTTCTGGTGGTGTTTTTCCTTACCATCCTATATGCAAACCACTCAATACTAACATGCTTCTCACAACAAATAAAAGCGCTACCTTACAGTAAACCAGGCCAGTTTCTTTTCAGGCAAGTCATGACTGGCATTGCTCAGAAAACAATCAGCATTTCTGAATGATTAAACTAAACCCCTGAGAACATCTAATTCCACAGGAACTCCACAGCAAATCACACTTGGCTATTTGCACTCATTTAACTGAAAGTTATGATGTGCTCTTTGCATGTTATGAAGACCACCAGATGAGATGGTTATGGTCCTCTCGGCATCTTTTCAGCAGCTTGTTCTGCTGTGATTTGTCTTCCTAGATAAATCAACATTGCAGTTTGTGGTGTGAATATCCCAAATTATTAATACTTAACAAAAATACAGGCTACCAACGAGATGTCTTTGATTTCTCTGAATATCTGAGCTTTTTTAGCACTATTCAGAAGTCATTAAGAAATAATTTTTTGCTTTCAAAAATTTACTTCATCCCCTCCCGTTTCCCCAATATTTTACCTGTCTCTCCACAGACACAGCTCTCAAACTTTGTCCCTCCGTGGGATGTAGATCTTCTGTAGCTTTGCCCAGAGCTGTCCTGCTGTCTGTCATTTATCCTGCCCATCCCCAAAGACCAGGAATCCATGAACACTCCTCCCAGCTTTTGGACTCTTGCTACCTCCTCTTTCATGGTACGAGATTGAACATATTAATACACATCTTATTTCTCTTGCAGACTTTGTACATGAGAGAAGAGTGCTGTTGATAAATCAACCAACTGTACTTGGAGGTAGTGAAGTTATTAAACACAAATCTTGGTGCTTTTGAATCAGCTTCCACTTTTTCCAGGCCACTCAAGCCTTCCATGGATGCCTGAATGGACCTCAAGATAAAAAAGAGGTCTCTGGCTGGGCAAAAGAAGCTGTCTGTACAAGTCAGACATGGCACTTTGTTTCAACACTGTTTTGGAACTGAAATAAAAAGCCAGGAAGTTTAGCAGATGGCTATGTATGTATGTATGTATACATAAACAAAAACATTATCTTAGTTTCTGAAGACATTTGTACAGAAGGAGAAAATACATTGTTATTTTGATTCTTTCAGACCCTAAAATACCTGCTTAATTGCTAACACAGCAGGTTGGGATGCTCAAAGACCCATCCTACCACCTGTTGCTAGAAATACAATGCTTGACTCAATTTTGAAAGACCCGGCTAGATTGCAATTGTGAAATTAAATCCAATAAATGCAAGAACATTATCAGACTCCACTTAATACAGAGAAGCTGTTTGTCAACAAACTTTAAGAAAAGCATTCCCATTCTTCAACTTAGCTATAGCAGGCTGAACTCACCACATAATTTAGCCTTTCCTCAAATGTCTGTGAAGAAAAAATATAGTATTTTTCTGAAGGCTGTTAAAATCTGAAACGACCAACAGAGACTATTCAGAGGAAGTGAAGTCTGAGGCCTTTATGTTATAAATGACAAATTCAGCTGGAACACAACTCCACTGATATTCAGCAGCTGACAAGGGAGTCTCTCGAGCCATAAGCCTGCACTTTCAATGTGGACAAAAAGCACCCAACCTAAGAAACTGTTACACAGGTTCAATTATTTCAGCAGCAGTGGGGTTTGTAGGTGCCACAGTTGTCTGTCTCTTCACTCCCTGTACAGCCATTTGAAAGGCTAAAAGCATTACCTGAAAGACTGTGGCTGCGGTGGAGCTGTGTGGGAGCTATAAACAAGGGCGATGCTTCCATGGCCCCAGACGCTCTCTAAGTGACTGGGGCTTTCACTCTGACAATTGCCATCACCCTCCACAGTGAAGGTACATCTGCATTCCCAGTGCTGTGCTGGGAGGAGTGGGAGGCAGAGGCTAAAGTGTGCATTTGTAACTCCCTTAGCTCACCGTTCGTAAAATCATATTAGGAGACTGTGAAAGAGCGTCATGGTGCAGTGGCTGTCTGTGTGAGGCTGTTATTAAAAAGGAAACAAAGTGGAAAGAAAAATAATTCCCCCTTCATTCCTATTACCAAAAGCTGGTAGTTTTTTTCCTCAAGATCCACAGTTCAAGCCAAGTGTTAGACCTGAAAATAAGGGAAACATATTTATATAAGTGAAAAGTATTGCTCCTGTTGGCTTTCTATGTTTTAACACACTGCAGAGACTGCTAATGCCTCCTATAGTTATCATCCAGAAGTAAATTTATTTTGCAAAATAAAATGTAAGAAGGGAGGAGGAGGCAACTTCAGAATATTACATGGCTTGCTGAGTCCTGGTATGGACGCTCCCTGCAGCTGCAATTCACGTTTGCCAGGTGAGCTGACTCAGTGTCCTCAGAAATTCACACATAATTGTGGAACATAAGGCATTTCCCCATCTATTAGCTGGTGCACAAAATAATGTGCCCAGGCTAATATGCACACATGAGAAAGTACAGATCAGATTACTTGGTGAGACAGTTGATATTGTTCTGGGACAAGGACTCGTATCATCGTATGTGGCCTTGAAAATTGGCTGTAGGGTAGCTATCAGGATTTTGGTATCATGGAGTGTTATCACAAAGCATATTGCACAGTGCAGCAATGCAGATTAGGTGATCACCAAAATATAAATGAACTCTTCTAAGAGATTAATTTCTGTAGAGACTCATAGTAAGACTGAAATCACCGATGAGAGGCCAGGAGCATAACAAAGCAGCTGCACAACAGCACAGGAACAGGCACGCTCACTCTGTCTAGAAATCACAACCATCTCCTATAAAATGCTCACAGTATTAGAAGCAGGAAAGTTTGATCACAAGCACATAAATCAGTGACTGCAGGAGCTTTGTAATGGATGGTTTAGTGTGGAGGAAAGGGGGGGAGGGAGGTTGCAATGAAGAACTGCAGCCTATTCTGTATACAAGAACAATGCCATCCTTAGATCCTCTGTGATTTGTAATCACCCTGCAATTTCTCTCAGCAAAAGGATTTTAAAATATTTGTTCAAGTTGATTTGGCATACATCTTCCTTATTCCTTTACACACACACAAAAACGGACATATCATTCTCTGACTTATAGCAGAGACACAAAAACATACTGAGAGTAGAATAGGTGAAATTTCCTTCCCCCTTGGCAGGATTTGTGAGACAAATGGTACAGACGAGGCTGGTTCCATTGGAGAAGGCTCTAGAACTAGACTCTGCACACGGGTAAGCTAAAGCCAAGCTCCTGTCATGAGATCCAGTGTCATGACCTGCTCTCACGGGGTGCAGAGGGCTTGTACACTCTGTACCTTCTGCCTCAGTGGCCGGCGGGGCCAGAGGGCTGAGGGCTGCCCCTGCCCTGCCTCTGGGCACCCAGTGCCTGTGCAGCTCAACGAGGGGTGTGCCTTCAGGCACCCAGGGGTGTGGATGTCTAAATATTTATCTCTGTAACAGAGATGCTGACATTCTTTGCATTTTGTTTTTTAACGAGCTACTAGTGAAGCATTGAAAGTGATGCAGCTGCTTTTATATTAGCGTGGAAGTAAGAGGAGTTAAAGAGGATCAGTGTCACGTTAGACATTTGAAGAACCATCCACTCCTTTCATAATATCAACACAGAGCATAGAGGGAACAGATTCTGACACCTGCTTATGAAAGCCTATCGTTGTACATAACAGAAACACCTCCCTGAGAATTAGCTCTCAGTTTAGTTTGCTATGAGCTGCTCCACTACAGAATCATAGAGGGAGTCAGATCCAGCTGTAAAAGCAAATATCCAGTTAAAGCTCACGAAGTTCTACTTTGAAAAGCAATTTGTTTAAGGTTGACTTCATTTCACTTAAAGTCAGCTAACTCTGAAATCACCACAGTTATTTCAAATCAATCACCTGACATATTTTACCTATGCATTCATTGCCCCAAATTGAGTCAATTGTTTTTCAAATTAAAAAAAAAAACCCACATGTTTTTAAAAAGGTGGCAAGAGGTTGTACAGCACAGCTGAGGTGGTAAATATATCTGCCATTTGCTCAGAATTTTGAACATAAATTCAGTCTTCACAGACAGAGAAATTCTTATGGCAGAGAAAATTAATGAAAAGTTAGCAGCATCTCAAAGTATAACGTACAAATATTTCTATCATAATAACTGTACGGTATATCTACTAAACCATGGCTATAAACCTAAATATATTGAAAATAATAAACAGATATAAATAAATACTGGTGTTCAGACTCCAAAGTCTCAAATGAAAAAAAAAAATTGCAGGAAATTAAGAGGATAAATCCAACATTAGTGGGTGCAATATCAAAGTTCTTCTATTTGACTTCTTATATCAAATTTAGTACGGCTCTTACCGACACACTGTGAAAGTAACTATTTCTTCCCCCTCCTCCTGGCACTTAAACATTATATCTATACCCAGAAGTTATTTCTATACATAACTATATTAAATATATATATGATATACACTTACATAAATATATATAACCAGATACACTCACTGTGGTGTATTTTATAGCTATATATCTGTTAAGGTAGTTATTGATGTCACTGTCTGCCTAGATGAGAAAAACAGCCCTGACTCCCATTAATCATGTGAGCTGGTGGAAGCAACACATTAGCATTTCAGCAGCACTGGAGACATTCAAAACTGACTGAACCATCACTGATCACTTAATCTTATGAAAAATGTTTAAGAAAGCAGGACATTTATTGCTCTTATTACATGCTCACAGGCTGATCCCAGTCTCATTGTGATCAACAAAAACAGATACCTGACAGGATTTGAAGGGAACAATCCTACAGTCTCCAGTTCATGTCAAGAAGTACTGAAGATATTCTGGTGGAATTTCACAGCCACTTCAATCAAGCAGTATCTATTTTGGTGAGCTTTGTTTGTGGAGTCATCTCAACCTATGTAGGCTTAAATTAGCCTGAAACCACAGCCTGGTTCTTTGCACCTGAATCTGATGGGAAAGAGGTGTTAAAAAACAGTGTGCTTAAATTACCAAAATATAAGTCCATGTACATATCTATGAATATAAATATATGGGAATTACCATGATTAAGGATGCTTTTTTCTGTTCTTGATGAAGTGCACCATCTTTAACATCATCTTTAGTCAGATGTTAATAGTACACTTCTCAAACTCATAAATTATCTAAATTCTCTCAGATCCCTGCATTCAAAAAAAAAAAAAAAAGAAAAAAGGAGAAAGAAAAAAGGAAAGGAGTTATGTATAGCAGCAAGAATGCAAAATGGCTGTTATGTTTCCAGTGCATTTCAGGTAAACATGTCACAACAGCAGTTTGAATTAAGCAGCATCCATAGGAAATATTTGACTTATTTTCTGTTCTGTCTCTGCCTGTACAGACCAGGCACCCACATTAAGGAGAAAATGCATACTGAAAATATGGTGACATTTTTAATTAGATGTTTTGACATAATTTCTTAAGGATTATACCTGGGCAGCATTTAGTCAAAATGATGCTTAAATTGTGCTTTTCAAAACTGTTCAGAGTTGACATAGTTCTACTCCCAAGTAAAAATCAGTAGGAGTTTTACTGCTGACTTCCACAGAATATAAGCCAATGCTGAACACTTCTGAAAATAGCTTTCCATCTGTATATTTATGTAAATGAATAGGGACTGTTAGTAGAAATAGGAACTGAAAAGATCAGGCTTTTAATTTTAAAAGTTGAAGTTAAATATAGGTTACTACACTAGAAAACTAAAACACAAGAAATACCCAGACAAACTTTGACACTCTTTGCTTTTATTTATGGCAGGAATGGATGGAAAACAACTCCATTACCTCAGGTGATGCAGCTCCAGGCTTTCTGACATCACTAGACACCACTGACTCTTCAGTAATGGCATTTCACACTTCCAGAGGGCAGATGAGGACTCTAACAGAGCCATCTATGAGTTAGTCCCAGGCAGTCTAAAAGAAGTTATAGTACCAGCCAACACAGTTAAACCCACCCTTTTCTACACTCAGATAGATTTCTACTTCCCATTTTCCCTAAGCAGACCTTTTCTTTTGCCACTAAAGGTGATTTCTTTCTTTGAAGGAACAGCCCTTTGTGACAAGGAAATGTCTGTTGGCTCCAAGCCAGTACATTTACAGTAGTCAATATTTATCATATGAATAATCCCACTGACTGCAGGGAGGCTGCTGGTGCAGTTGAAGTCAAACAGCCACACAAGCACTTTGTTGGCTCAAGGCCTGGCTACTGCAGGAAGTAGCAAACTTCACAGCAAGATGGGAGAATACTGCTTTTTGGTATTTTAGGCCCACTAAGTTTTGGTCCCTTTAGGTCTTTCTGATCTCACTGCACTTTCAGAGGGCTTTACTGATTGAAGGCTCATCCTGCGTTCTCGCTCCATTGTGTACCACCATGGACAAGAGATCCAGTGGGCTGGAAGACAAGGTGATATGTACAGGCAGGAGCCTTATCAGCTGCAAACTCAGCTCTTGAAACTCGAAGGGTCAGTTCCGAACAGTGGTTTGGTGCAGGAAGGGGTACCTGTGTGACACTACTTATGGTAAGCAGGAAGAAGAAGCAGCTTATTAAAAGTCATTAAAGCCTGGCAAGTTTTAAGAATTTTTTCTGGTCAGAGGTTTGAAATCTTTGGCGTACTGTTTTTTTATTAGCCAATTCAGATTTAAGTCCTTTAATGATTTGCCAACCCAAGTGGCACCTGCACCTCCAGTGTTACTTTTTTCTTCTTCTTTTCTTTAAATAGGTCTTTAAAAACAAGTCAGGAAGTTAAGAAAAGAGGAAGCAGTAATAAAGATGAGATAAGCTTATTATGGCACTCAAGAATTTTATGATCCCACCTGTTGAGCATATTGGGCTGTACTTACGATCTCAGAAAATCAGTAAAGCTTATTAAAAACTCATGGTCTTCAGAATAGAGTTAGTTTAGTCATGGGTGGGGTTTTATGATTTGATCTTTTAGATGCTGTAGAGAACCAACAGCGCTTTTAGAGTAGTGCTAATAACTCATATCTCAGACCAAAGTACAGAAAGCCTCATATGTAATCCTTCACATGGAATATTTCTGCCCTGTGATCAGTCTAAAATTAACTTAAGTCCTGCTGAAACTACCCTAGTCAAAGCTCTAGAACAGACAAATTCCCTCCAATAAGAAGGAAGTACTAGGGTGAAGTGTGAATTTGGATGCAGTCTGACTTTCCACAGAATATTTTCTCAAGTTCTAGAACTTGTCCCTCAGCTCAGCATAACTTAGAAATTACCTCAGTGCTCCTCAGGGTCAAAGACTGTGGTCAACAATTCTGCTTCATCCTCAAGCAGCATTCTGCTGTGAGCACCCCTGTGTTTGGGCAGCAGATGCAGAGGCTGCTCTGAATTTGCTAATGGAGATTTGGCAGAAAGTGGTAAGACTTTATTCCAAGTGCAAAGAGAATTTCTTCTACCTGCCTTCATTACTGTATAGTATAACCAGTAACTCATTCACACACACAGATCATTCCTAAAACCCCCACAGTGCTTACACAGTTTGCAGCTGGCAGAAAGAGTCACATTTTTGTATTTGTCACTTATCCTAAGGAAAACAGTATAAAAGCACAGCAGAGGAGAAGAAAAAGGCATCTTTCACTGAAGAATTGTTTGTTTCCTCTCATGTCACGAATCACAAGTGGACCTGTTTCCTGACCTCTGTTGTCTTAGGCAGCAGTGCTGTGTGAACCTCTACATCCCAAATCAAATTGTTATTGACGCCTGTCATTTCTGACCATATCGTGGAGTGTTCCTCAGGGTTTTACTGAGTGTGCTTTCCCAGTGTCTCCTATAATGGGCGGTGAGTTATGAGCAGAGCTGGGAACTACTGCACAGCTAGATCTACAACACAGTCTGTTATTGTTTCAGGATGGGATTTAACAGAATCTCTGCTCATCCAGTCTCACGCGCACATCTGCCAAAATGTTTAAGTAAATTGTGTTAGGAATGAAGTCATACTGTCATACAATATAATAATGGAAAGTGGCTGACTACATTTTGTACTATAAAGAGCTGGGTCTCAGCAGGAGATTCAATGCCTTTTAAGGGAAAAAAAAAAGATTGTCTGAAGTATTGACATTTAAACATAGGTTTTCAAGTAAGAAAATATTAGGGCATATCATTTTAGGCTCAAGTCCACATTAATCTCAATATCCAAAAAGAAAAGGAGCTTATTAACCTGAGCAGACCCTCCATTTTCCAGAACACCATATTTGAAGACAATCTTGTACATACACTCTCTTAAAAAACCAAAAAGACATAAACATAACAACAACAACAAAAAAGTACTACCAGAAGATGCCCAAGCACACACAGAGGGTTAAAACCAAGGGAAGTTAATGTTGGCATGAGCCAGCAAACATCAAAGGAAGATATGATAGGTTCATGCCAATAAATTGGTAATGACGCAAGAGTTTTATGAGCCTTGGCAGTCCTGTTGGCCCGGACATTTTTGCAGGCAAAACAAACTGAAGATATTATCTCTTACTGTTACTGAGATATTATGATTTAGCATGATTCTATTTTTTTTTCTTTAGGGCAGACTGAGTTCACACCAAAGCAAGTGCTGTGCTGCGCTAAGTAACAGAAGTGAAGAGAGCAACAGAAACAAGCCAAGAGGAATGAATATTCACAAATAATGAATCTTTTGAAATCAGTGCTCTGAACAGTGCTCCTGCTTTCCAGATATTCCCACCTACTGTCAGTTGGTTTTAATTCTGTAAACAACATTTTGCCGTGATGTTAAAATGTATGCATATAAAAATAAATCAAAACAGGCAAATGCAGTTGACGAAAAGAACAAGGCTTTGTCAATAAAAGCGAAAATTATAATCTAAAGTGCTACGGAGTACCTTTGTTTTGCCACTTTTGGCATCCAAAGATTTGTGGAGACATTCCTGACTGCTTGCTGAGACACTGCAGAACAAACCCAATCATTTTGGTGAGGAAGAGTGCAGACAAATAGGAGATGGTCAAGTCAACCAAAAAAATATAATCTCAGAGTTTGACTCAGGAAAGCATATAAGGATGTGCACAATTCCATGCACTTGAATAAACCCACTGAAAAGCACAGCATCTGCTCCCTTGTAGGTACCTATCCCTGAACAATGAAACAGTGAGCTTTGCTGGGCTCAGTAAGACTGAGTGCTGAGGAGAGGCAGTTAAATTCCCCTTCCTCTTTCCGAGCTTGTAAAAATACAACTGTTTTAATAAATTTCCCCCTAAGCTCCTGCGGCTAATAAAACAGACATAACAGTTTTTAATTTTTTAGAAGGAATCCCAATAAAAATGTTTTCAGTTGCATAGCTTATTGAGTTATTGAATGTATTCAGATCAACAGCACAAGTGGAATAATCCTGCAAAGTGTTCAGGATCAATTCAAATGTCCAGCTGAAAATTTTTAAGTTCCTATCCTGGCACATGGCACTTGTGGGTGGAAGGTCCTTTATCCAGTCCAGTCATAGATCTTTGCCTATTTGGCAAATCCTTATTTGAGGCAGCACCACCTGCACCATAAAACTTTGCTGTGGTTGAGTGTTGAAGTGGAAAGTGATTTTTCAGGACATTCTAAAAATGGGGCATATTTCATTGTTCCTGTCAGCACATGATAAATGCTTCTAGAAGGTGTCTAGAAACAACTAGGTTGTCCCAGTACCAGAATGGGCCACTTAATGAATTGCTGACTTCAAAGTACATCAGAAGTCCAATATTCAGAGTGCGGATCTCTGCATTTCAATATTTCTTTTATTTTCTCTCTCTCTTTTTCTTTTTTTTTTTTTTTTTTTTGAGGTTACACAGTGGTTACAGTAGTGGAATTGTGGAACCTATTGGAGGCGTATGCATGGTAGAGATACATTTTACTCTGTCAGGTTCTGACATGCTTTCTTTTTGAAGGTGATTATTGATTTTCTGCTTCCACAAGAAATGACTCAACCTGAGAATATAAATCATGGTTTAAGGGGGAAAAAAAAGACCCCCAATCTTGCTCCTTTAAGAAAGGTATATATGTTAAAATAGGAAGGGGGAAAGAAATAGCAAAGCAAGTAGTTTTTACAGAAAGAAGAGCTGCTCTGAAATAGCACTGTGCATTACTTAACTGGTTTGGATATTATTAAATGTGGCAAACCAAAGCTTTTTATGATATAATTTTCTTTAGATGGATGCCAAGTGTGCTTTATGCGCTCCCTGTCTCTGATATCACACAAGTGACAATCATCTCTGCTGTGGACTGTGACTTTGGAACTGAAACAAAATGGTGACTAAGTGTGCAAGGATAAAACTGATGTTTTACTGTCTGTCATAAGGATTTTCAAATATGGCAGCCTTGCAGTGTTTCAAGATGAATTGTGCCTGTTCTGTGCTGCGGTTTTTGTGACCCAGTCTCATCTCAGGTGCAGCTGTCATTGAAAATGAGAAAGCACCATGGAAGAAGTCAAAGTTTCGACCCTGCGCATTTCTATGTTTGGGGCATTATTTTTGTATTAATGGTAACATTTTTTAATATTGTAGATTATATTTGTTTTTTCTCACCTCCATTTAAAAATGTAGCCAAAAATTTAGAATACATCTAGGAGGAAAAATATTCCAACTGAGAAAGAAGAGCCTAAGTTCCTACTTAGGAAGAAATTCTTTACTGTGAGGGGGGTGAGGCACTGGCACAGGTTGCCCAGAGAAGTTGTGGATGCCCCATTCCTGGAAGCGTTCAAGGCCACGTTGGGCTGGGCTTGGAGCAACCTGGTCTAGTGGAACATTTCCCTGCCCATGGCAGGGGGATTACAATGAGATGAGCTCTAAGATCCCTTCCAACCCAACCCATTCTATGATTCTGTGATGATTCTATGAAGTATTGGTGGGGGTTTTGCCAGCAGCCATTAAGTACAGTGTAGTTCTACAATATGATAAGATGTTTGCTTTCTCTTTGTATGTAATTTAGATCTCTGGCACCCAAGCAAGATAGAAAATAATTAGAAGTGAGTAGAAGGTTGAAATAAGAAGGAAATTAAGAAATTGAGCTGGAGCCTGAAATGCAGCTGTAGGAAAGGTACTTGAGGGAAGCAGAAGGAAGAAATGAGTAAGAAATAAAAAATTAGTAACAGCAGGAATAAAAACTGGAAGGAAAAAGACAAGGAAAAGGTGGGGTGGAGAAACATAGATGGTATGTAAAGTGAAATGACCTCTTAATCCTTAAGGCTTTCCTTTCAGGTCAGGATAAAAGAATCCCAGCAGGAAATGAATGAAATTTGTGCCTTTTCAGATTTCACTGAGATGAGAAGCTCCTGCACTATTTTGGCAACACTAAATTTACTTCAAAACATTTCCCTGCCCTTTACTCCCAAAGAAAATGTCAGCTGAGAGGAAAAAACACCAAGTCTCATCCCAAACTGCAGGTAGTCAGAAAGTGTACAAGTGACAGGGATGACTCATATCTTGTACATCAGGCACAGTGAAAATAGAATATAGGAACAGCAAAATAGGAAGACCAATGTCTTGTGGACTACTTGAAGTGCTTTAAATCTGTAGTTTACAAAACTACAGGTGGGAATAGGTGTCTAGAAATAACTAGCCAATGGGTAAAATGCCAAAAGAGTTTTTATACTATTTTCCCAAAATCATATATTGCTTCCAGGGTAAAATACAGCTATTTTGGTACAGAGGTCCACAAAAAACACCAATAAAAAGTTCCAAACCTCAAACCATTAAATCTGGCTGCCATCTCTCTCTTGGAAAGTTTTTCTTTTCTAGACATATACTAAACTGCTTGTCTACCACAGGGCAATATTTTTTTTTTCTCACATAAATGACCTCCACAGCAGTGTTTATCTCACTTTTGTCCTGAGGAGGAATCACAGATCTAGGTTTTGGGGCAGGTCCTAGAGTAACTTGCTTTGGCCAGGTAAACAGTATCCTGGGAGCAATGCTGAAGCACAGGAGAGCATCATCTGAAGTGACATAAAGGCTATCCACTTTCTCTGGTCTTACCTCTTCAGCATAAAGAGAAAACACCATTATATTTACTGATGCATTTTACATGTCAGAGACAGTCCCAGGAGTAGTAACTGAGCTGACAGGAGCATTACCAACTCTGGACAGAATTTTCCAGCCCAGTCCTACGCCACTTCCTTCCTGCTGTGGAACAGATGAAGTCAGCGTGTTTTGAATCCACATTTACACTCTGTCATGCACTGTTCTGCAGTAAGTGCTCCTTATAAACAAGGAGAGCTGCCCCATTCACGGTGTGGTACATCTGCTTGTGTTCAACCCTACCTATTTTGTGACTCCCTGGATGAAAATCACCCTCCACAATCAGTGGGATTATCCACATTGTAAATAAAGCCATTATCAGTCCTGGCCACAGTATTGATCCCTGGGAGATGGCACCAGGAATCCTCTGCCAGTTGGATTTTGTACAGCTGATCATCACCCTTTGAGCCCAGTGGTCCAGCCAAATTTCCACCCACCTTATTTGTCTACTTATTCAATCCAGATCTCACCAATTTGGCAGCCAGAATACAGCAGGAACTGGTGTCAAAGGACTTGCTGAAGTCAAGGTATACAGCATGCTTTGCTTTCCCTTTCATCACACAGCCAGTCTTCCTGCCTGAGGGAGAAGAGAGGCTGGTCAGGCATGATAACAAAATATTTCTTCTTCAAATAATCTTTGCTTCCTCTCTTCTTCTGGGGTGCAAAACTAAACAGAGAAACACGTAAATCCCAGATTTGCCCAGTAAACACATATGCACTGCAACGTTACAGGCATACAATACTGCAACACCCGAAGTCTCAACATCAAACCCAGGGTGCTATTAGAGAGAGATGAAAGAATACTATAATTGCTTAATTATAGTCAAGGACCAAACCTTAACATACATGACTCATGACTTCCTTTCACCAGTGTAATGTCATTTCTCTTGGGAATGATTACGCAAGGTATTGGGTGCTAATAAAAGGTAGCTTAAAAGTCAGTTTGGGGATTTGTTCATCCAAGAATTCAAAAGGCTAATAACCTTAGAAAGCACTATTTAAAGCTACATTTCCACCTGATATTACAATCAAGGCTATAATGTTGTACATTTTTACATATCTATGCAGCAAACATTGTGAGGCAACACAAACTTGTATTTGAGGAACTTACAGCTTATGTTTCAGCTGAATGCACCCAACCTTTCCAAAACAGAATCTTCAGAAATCTCTGGAGCAGTGTTTACACCTACAAGCAGTGCTGTAAAGAACAAGCAAACAGATTGCTTATCTCTATGATAGATGTGTTCTGCCCTCTGATGAACACAAATCGATACCATTACTAATCAATGATGATCTCCAGGAGGCAGTGATTTCTTTCTGCAGTAGTTTTTGTGGGCTCCATTGGCATCTAGGGAACACTATAGCTACATGAGTGCTGCAAACCCACCGTAGTTGGAAAATTCAGTGTAAGATAGTGACACAAACAAAAAGAATGGTTATTTTCTTCTTCTCTCCAAGTTCAATCAAAGAACAGTCAAAATACAGCAAACATCGTAGAGAAAATTAGATTAATTAGTTTCAGATGACTTGTCCCAATAAAACATCTTGGCCCTCAACAGAAGTGGACATAAAAATCTTTCTGAGTTTTCATGGACAATAAAGATCTGCAAATAAATTTTATGCCCAATTTCAGCAGAAATCTTTCTTACCTGTTTTGTCCAGATCATTCCTTATTTGCATAGGTTTGGCTAAGTCAAAGGTAAATGACTTTCTACCACGTATGATTCTACCTTAAAAGCTTCATACAGTTCCTGTTGCCAGAGCCGGGGAGTTGCATGAGAGTCATCTGCCAGGATGGACTGACAGCGATCTGAATCTGCTCCTAAGTGCTGATTCATTTAAGCACAAGAAAAACGAGGCCAATTCCAGCCTGTTCCTAACACTGGGATGTCTTGGTGCATCCCAGCTCTCTGCCATGCAGCCTGGACAGGCACAGCTCTGGCCTCTGCATAAGATAACCAACAACCCAAGAGTGCTCTGGTTTTAAACCATTCTTGGAGATGGGACCAGACTGATCCTGAGCTGCAGCAGTGGAATGGTAGCCATGGCCTGGCAGATGCCCACCAGCTCAGGGTCCTCCAATGTGCAGAACAAGCACAACTTCCCAGTCTCCTCCTTTCAAATACAGTGATTCCACTGGAATGCTTGCAGAGATGAATCCAGATTTTTTAAAAAATATCTCTGCCAAATGGAGACAACCTCATTAGCCAACCCCCTGGAGGGGTTCTGCACTGATTTGAGTGGGAATTGGATTGAAGCCTTTTTAGTTTTCAAAACCAGGAAGGTTCAAGTGACTGCACTGTAATAAGGGAGCAGTGACAGATCAGGTCATCAGTTCTCCTTCCAAAGTTCTGGGCATTCAGTTTGTAAAATCATAGTCTACAAGTACACATTAAGTGAGTTCAGTCCCTCTCTAGACAAAACTGAAGCAGCAGGACATACTGAATGAGGCCTTTTCCAGGGTCATACCTGAAATCAAGCCTGTTGTAGTAGGAAGAAATACAAAAGATTATTCACTGTCAACAAAGACTAGAAGCAAACCACTGCAAGAACAGTGCAGATGGTTGAATAAGGGTTTCTAGTGTACCGGTGCCTTATGTAAAAGTGTCCTCCTCTGTCCTCCAACATCAACAGGAAACTCTCGTGCATCCTTCAGCATGAATACATTTTCATAGTACTGTCCTGTATTGGTGCTTTTAAATTTAAATCACATGCAAAGCTGAGTGGTCTCTGATGATTCAGAAAACTTTCTTTTGAGTTCGTAGGTTCACTTTATTCCAGAAAAGGAAGCTGTTTTATTTACTTGCTCAGTACAGCATCAGCATGATGAGCAGGACAGCTTTCTAGCTGCAAATGGAAAGGTTCAGAGATTAGCACTTTCCCACAATGCATGTTGTGGTTCATATACCAAACAGCCCTGAACGGAGACACTGAAGATGTTTCAGACCTTCAAACTGTAAAACCCTGTGTTAACTCAGATGAGTCTCACATTTTATTACTACAGATAAAACATACAATTTAATTAAACATGCACCTATAAAATGTATGGTTCAGTTAACTCTCAGTTTTACTTTAATACAACCTACCTAAGTAACTAATAGTAACGTTATGTAAAGAATTAATAGCTTTTCAAACCATAAAACACCTTGGAGCTATGTTGTTTTCTCATTTTATAACAGCTCCAATTTTGAGCTCAGTTTCTGCTCACATCATCACTTAACCCTTCATCTTCTATGCTCTTCCTCACTTCTTTATACAGTTTATCTTTAGACTCCATAACACATCTATTACCACAGCTGTTTTCTGTATAATAAATGGAAGTGCATTTCAACCTGTATGCATCCAAACCCAAGGCTGGATTTTAAATAAGGGAGGTGCAATATTTAGAAGAATGGATATAAAGTGTTACAGTCAGAACACCAAGAGCAGTGGAGCCAATGGAAGTAAAATTGGGTCTTCTTTTTTTAACTAGGTGCATATTTGAAAGTCAAAGGAATTGAGACACAGGACATTATTTTCCTGTGTGTAATCCAATGCCTCAAGGATTCATCTTTTACCTTGGAACCCAGTGATTTTTTTATTTATTTAATTTTTTTTATTTTTAACCAACAAGCCTGAATTGGGTGTTTTTCACCCTGATGCTGATATGACTTATAACTTCTGTTCTCAAAATAAAATCTAAAGCATCGCTGTTGTGCAAACAAATATTTGTATCCATTTAGCAAAGTCAAGAGACTTGCTCTTCACCTGGGATAAACAGAAAAAAATGAAAGTGCTACAGTTGTTGTGAACTAAATGAATTGAGCTGGAATATTGAATGAATTGAGCTTGGAATATTATTCCAAGTACCTGTACTATTACCCTTTACCATACATTGAAAGTATTTTTTCCTGAAAACGAGAGTCACAGACCTCTTTTCTCCAAGATGTTATTTTTCATGGCTAAGGCAGTCTTAGAACATCCTCCTTCCAGATCCCCATTCTTCAACTGTTTCTCCTCAGAAGTAAGAGCAATATTTAAACTACAATAAATAATATTGGAAGGTTATTTTTTTGCCAATGGAATAATGGTGATTGACTCAAAGGACAGCTCATCAAATAATACTTTTCTCATCAGCAGCCCCTCAGACTTCTACATAATGAACATATTTACTTAAGTGTATCAGAATTAGAAAACATTGTTTACCTGATACAAGAGATATTACTTCATTACTGAAAACATTTTAATTGGCATTTGACAGATGTTAAAGAAAACTCATTCCAAGGCTATAGTTTTTATATCCTGTAGAAGGACCAGTCATCAAATTATCTGACAGCAATGTAACAGCAAGAAAAATCTGTATCTTTTCAACACAGGAATTCATCATTTCTTAACTGTTACCCTGAAGGCACGTCAAAATCTTTTCCCAGTCAAAATAACTGGATAAGTTTGAAAGCCATGTCTAGAACCATAAAGAAATTTAAAGCCCCCTAACTTTTGTTGTAAGCCCCCCCCAAAAAATAAAAAATAATTAAAAAAAAATCTCATGAAAAATTCCACTGAATTCTGCTTAGTGGAAAAATTTAGAGACAAAACCTGCTTTCTATAAGTCCTTGATAAGTGTTTAATTTCAAACTTGTGAGAACAGGTTTTATTGACTTACCTTCCCTCTGGTGTGCCTACAAACCAAGCATCCACACCCATGTACAGGGTTAGGGAAACAATTGTACTATTGGATAAAATCAATGTTTTCCTTGCCCTCTGCTCCCATTCCCCCACCAGGCCCTCCCTATCCACCACTTACCTAAGTGATGGGGGAATTAAAAGTGACTGGAATGAAGGGCAGAGAGATTTTTCCACCCAAACAGAACACTTTGTGTTAGAATGATCCCAGAGGAGAAAAGAAATCCATATGAAAAGCAATCTTTTCACCCTCGGTGTTTCACATGGAGAAACAGTATTTCCAGCCGGTTCAGTCCAAGAATGTTTGTGTATGCATATTTAGAAATAAATGTATATTCTACAGGACCCAACCCTTTAGACCTGCAGGTTTAGGTTCAAGGGATAGTAAGACACAATACCTGGGGACAGGCAGCACCTACAATGATCGTAACCATTTATTTAAGTGAAAACAAACATTTTATACTGTGTTTAAAGAGAATGGGAGAATTTTCACTCCTACAGTCGGCTTAGGCTTTTGCTTGAAGGTCAATAACGTTCTAAAGTTATTCAGTTTTAACACAGTTTAGTAGTTTAGGTTTTTATACCTGCAGTTTGAAAATGGGACACACACTTTTCTTCATGGGAGAGAGAAGGACTAACACTGAAGTCTTCTCCAAATCTTCATGTTTCTAAAAGAGCAGCAAGTGTCTTCTAATCTCTGTGATGCCCGGTGTACACAACCTGTGTCCATCCTTACAGATACAACACCTGGCTGACACTTTTATCTATTTCGCAAAGAGAATCTAAATCCTTAAGAGAATTAAGAGAAACTAAATCCTGTTTCCTTTTGGACAGAACTGAATCAGCAAGAGAGAGATGGTATTCTCTGAAAGCTCTACCATAAAGTTCCACAAAATACAACATAAAAATTCCTTCTTGGTGCTTTCATCCTGATCTCAACAGCTTTGCATTTGCACTAGAATTTTTTTTTTTGGCTTTTTCCTGTTTTCATTTTCCTCTTTTCTCTTATATACAGAAGGGCAATAATTTTCAACAAGATTTACTACAAGTCCAATGTTTATAGAAGCCCTAATGAAGTCATATTCAAAGAACCTCACCTCTCTCTTCTATCCTTTTTAGACATATAATGGGCATTTCATAAACATTAGCATGAAGAAGCAGACCACGAGTCAGGTATTGTAAAACATATACTAAAAATTGTTCAAGAATCTGAGGACGTTCCTAGCAACAACTCTTTCTTCTGTTTGGTCCATAACAGAGTGGTGCAAAAACTAGGTTTATTTTTCAGTTGGACAGTGAGAGAAGCAAAAAGGTGCATGCAGATAAAACTTAATATCTTCAACTATTTCCTTTACAGGAATGAAAGTCTTCCACAGTACATTTAATTTCAATCAAAACATGCCACTTGACTCTGTTGGATTCCCTAAACAGCCAGTGTTGGTACCACTGACTCTGTGTTACCCAGAAGCACAGGGTTAGAGCATTCAGAAGGAATCTTGAGGCACTGGAGGGAAAGGCAACACTAATATTCCCCTCAGGCCTGTGAATTTAGTTCCTCAGTTTTTCATTTCTACAACTCCCTCCTGTTACCCACTCTGAGCAAACTATTTTGATTTGGCTGAAGGGAACTGCTCATTTGAAGTAACAAAACACCGTTATTTCACCAAATTTATTCTTCACTGGGAGACACTCAGCATCTCCTGGAGAGCAGTGTGCCAAGAGGGTCCTCCTTGTTGGAATCACCGTGGTATACTCAGGTACAGAAGTAAAAATAGCAAATGCCCTGATTTTCTGTGTTCAGATCAGCTCAAGGATCAGGAGATAACAGATGCAGCTTGTGCCTCAGTTTGTGTTCCCAATACTGCCTAAAAAACTCCCCAAACCACAAAACAAAACAAACAAACATACAAAAAACCTCACCCCCACAAAAAAAACCCAAACCAGAAAACCAATAAACAAGTATGGTGGCTGTGTGGCAGCCAGTGCAAATGGGCTGATCTATCCAGGCTGACTCTTGCTGGGAGAAATAAATAGCAAACCTCTGCCCAGGGCAGGCATAAGGGCTAGTGCAGCACAACTCATCCTCTTTCACATGAACTGCACACCTTTAAGGAGGTTCAGGGAGTCTGATTCAGGCAGGAGTTTGGGCTGTTGGGCAGCTCCACTGTCACCCTGCCTGCCCTAAACTGGCTCCTCTCTGCCATCCAGTCCCAGCAGAGAAGAGATGTGGCAGCTTGGCTTCTCCCTGGCTCTCCCCTCCACCCCACAGTGTGGCACTGGCAGAGGGGGTTGTCCTGCTTGGATGAGCTATGGGACCTTGGACCCCAGGAGAGGCTTTCCTGGTGTCCTTTCTGACACTTGTCCTGGTGGGATATAAGGCTTTAAATGGTCTGTGAAGCAGCGTCTGGGCACCACATTCCTGGGCAGAAGACACAGGCAAGCCAGACCCATCATATCCCACTCCCACTGCGTCAACGCCCGAAGAGCAGCGATCCCGGCACACCCCTGGGCAAGGGCGGGCACACGTGTAAGATGTTCCCCCATCCACCCGAGGCTTGGGCTCCTTCCAGAGCCCCTGCCCAGCCCAAACGCCCCAGCCCCCAGAGAAACCCCCTACCCTCCCCAAACCTCATCCCCCATTGTGCCACCGCAAACCCCCCCTTGCACTGCCCACCCGCGGCCCCAAACGAGGCCGCCCGCCGGAGCACGGAATGGGAAAACCGGACTGATTTTCCCGGAGTACGGAATGGAGGAAAACCCGGACTGGTTTTTCCCGGAGCACGGAATGGAGGAAAACCGGACTGGCTTTTTCCGGGAGCACGGAATGGGGGAAAACCCGGACTGGCTTTTTCCGGGAGCACGGAATGGGGGAAAACCCGGACTGGCTTTTTCCCGGGAGCACGGAATGGGGGAAAACCCGGACTGGATTTTTCCCGAGTACGGAATGGAGGAAAACCCGGACTGGATTTTTCCCGAGTACGGAATGGAGGAAAACCCGGACTGGATTTTTCCCGAGTACGGAATGGGGAAAACCCGGACTGGATTTTTCCTGGAGTACGGAATGGAGGAAAACCCGACTGGATTTTTCCCGGAGTACGGAATGGAGAAAAACCCGGACTGGATTTTTCCTGGAGCACGGAATGGAATTTCAAAAAAAAAAGGAAAAAGAGGGGAAAAAACGGGGGAAAGGGGGAAGGGAGGAGAAAAAGGGAGGAAGAAAAAAGGGAGAAAAGAGGGAAAAAAGGGAGAAAAAAGGGAAGAAAAAGGGAAAAAAGGGGAAAAAAAGGAAAGAAAAGGAAAAAAAGGGAAAAAAAGGGGAAAAAAGGGAAAAAAAGGAAAAAAAGGAAAAAAAGGAAAAAAAGGAAAAAAAGGAAAAAAAGGGAAAAAAAGGAAAAAAAGGAAAAAAGAGGAAAAAAGGAAAAAAAGGAAAAAAAGGAAAAAAAAGGGAAAAAAAGGAAAAAAAGGAAAAAAAGGAAAAAAGGGAAAAAGGGAAAAAAAGGGAAAAAAAGGGAAAAAAAGGGAAAAAAGGGAAAAAAGGGAAAAAAGGGAAAAAAGGGAAAAAAGGGAAAAAAAGGAAAAAAAGGAAAAAAGGGGAAAAAGAGGAAAAAAAGGGAAAAAAAGGAAAAAAAGGAGGAAAAAAGGAAAAAAAGGGAAAAAAGGGAAAAAAAGGGAAAAAAAGGGAAAAAAAGGGAAAAAAAGGAAAAAAAGGAAAAAAAGGAAAAAGGGAAAAAAAGGAAAAAAAGGAAAAAAAGGGAAAAAAAGGAAAAAAAGGAAAAAAGGAAAAAAAGGGAAAAAAAGGAAAAAAGGGAAAAAAAGGGAAAAAAAGGGAAAAAAGGGAAAAAAGGGAAAAAAGGGAAAAAAGGGAAAAAGGGAAAAAAGGAAAAAAGGGGAAAAAAAGGGGAAAAAAAAGGGGAAAAAAAAGGGAAAAAAAAGGGGAAAAAAAAGGGAAAAAAAAGGGGAAAAAAAGGGGAAAAAAAAAGGGGAAAAAAAAGGGAAAAAAAAGGGAAAAAAAAGGGAAAAAAAAGGGAAAAAAAAGGGAAAAAAAAAGGGAAAAAAAAAGGGAAAAAAAAGGGAAAAAAAAGGGAAAAAAAAGGGGAAAAAAAGGGAAAAAAAAGGGAAAAAAAAAGGGAAAAAAGGGAAAAAAAAAGGGAAAAAAAAAGGGAAAAAAAAAGGGAAAAAAAAAGGGAAAAAACCCCCCACCACAGCCCAGCGGGTTTCTGGGGAACCCAAATTATTTATGCAGTTCAGAAGCTGCACATCCCTAAAGCATTCTGTTGGGAACACCGAGCTTTCCACAAGCATTTTCTACTTCAATTTGGACTTCCAGCACATTTAAAGACAATTTAAATCAGAATGAAAGGACTTGGTGCCAGCACAGCATTGGGTCAGGGACATGAGGACACTCAAACCATACTCACTGTGGACTCTCCAACCCCAGCACTCCTGTAGCCTCCTCATTTCTCACAGAGACTCACTTCTATTTCAAGGACTCCCATCAGGAAATGGATCCCCATTCCCAGAAGCAAATCCCAAGGCTCTTTTTACAACATGGGAGGGCTCCAGCTTTCACCTGCCATCCACAAGCAGCTCTGGATTTTCATGCTGCTTTGCTTCACAGGGCCTTTTCTGCCAAGCTCACTGCTTTATAATTCCCCTGTAGGTACTGGAAGGTGCTATATGGTCTCCACGGAGCCTTCCTGTCTCCAGGCTGATCAAACTCAACCCTGTTAGCCTTTCTTACTAGGAGAGGTGCGGTACTTTAAACAGGGGCTCACGACATATAAATAGTAGAGGGGGAGAATCACCTCTCTTGACCTGCTTCCTTATGCAGCTTTTTTCAGTTCCTCCTTATGTGACAACAGTCCAAGACAATACTTCCCTTTATCGTCTCTCACAGTGCTGAAAAAACATCCACAGTAAAATAAGAACAAGAGAAGTTTCGGGGTTGTTTTTCTTCTGCTTTCAAGCTTCTTCCAGAAAACTCCACTGTCACTCTTTAAGTAGATTTCTAAGTGTGTTATAAAAACAAAACTGGGGATATTAAATCTTTACCAATTACCTCTAGAAAAATAACAACGTTATTTTTAAATCAGTCATGACAAACACTTGGTGCATCTCAGCACACAATGTGTTCCTGCTGCACGCACCTGTCAGCTTTCACAGAGAATCTCAACATGGGGACTAGGTGTGTTTTCACAAAGGATGTTAAGGCAGTTTTAGGCTCTAATGATTGAACAGATTTATCACAGAATCATAGAATGGTTTAGGTTGGAAGGGACCTTAAAGATAATCTCATTCCAGTCCATTTCCGCAGGCAGGGATAGGGACACCCTCCACTAGACCAGGCTGCTCAGAGCTCCTTCCTCCTGCCTTGAACACTTCCAGGGATGGGGCAGCCACAGCTTCTCTCGACAACCTGTGCCAGGACCTCACCACCCTCACAGTAAAGAATTTGCCTTCCCAAAAATTCTTTTAACCACTACATAAATCCTTTGAGGCAAGCTATACTGGCCACAGAGAAGAGACAATGAGTACTAACAAGACAAAACACAAAAGTAACACCTGTTTTTCTGAATAGCATTGTGAAATTTAAGGAAATTCTTACTTCAGAAGGTTGAAGATAACATACTGAATATTGGTTACAATCAGAGCCTCATGGTAATCAGGGTGTTTATCAGGATGTGCTAAACAAACCAACCTCAAGCTCATGAAGACAAATACCCATGTATTTATAATACAAAATAGGAATGTTGCCATCAGATGACTTGTAAGGAAAAAAAAATTAAAGAAACAAGTGTTTATAGGAGAAAATAAGTAAACAGTCTACTGCTTTAAAACTCACTGGATCACATGCATTAATGATATAGCTTTACTAAGATAAATTGAGTCATATCATGAATGGAGTGGTTAATTGAACAGAAATTATGAGGGAAAATTAGGTCTCTTTTTTTTAACAAAAGGAAAAAGGCTATCCTAAGGAAACAATGAACAGAATATAAAGAGTTTAGGAGTACAGAAAGCTTATTAATTCATTTTTATTGAATGAATAGGGAAACATTATTTGTGCAAGTTGGTCATGGTACAACTTGCTTGTTTATGCTTCACAAACCCACAGGATCCTTAATGAGATCTCATTAGGCATCTTCTCCACTCCAGTGAAGTCCATGAGCAGAGAAACAGAGGTGGGTGCTTGCAGTCTAACTGCACTAAAGCTACTCAGCTAGAAACCACCCTCCTACTGTAAAAAGTTATAATCCATAATGAATCACTCCAGTAATACGATAATGAGTTACTGATCATGAGTTGCATCACAACAGTTCTATGCACAACATCTGAAGACTTAAGTTGTGAGAAAATTAAGTAGAAAAAGTGCAAGAGACAGGAGCTAAGCAGCTCCTCGGACTCACTTCCCTTTCCTAAAGCAACCCCAAACAGCTTTGTGAATGCTGGAAAGATGTAGCATAAAAAAGTTGTTGTATGACTCATCATTGTGTGATACTCATCACCAAGTGTGAACAATTTCTTAATAAGCAGTGAGAAAGCAAAACAATACTAGTAAGAATCTGACATATGCACCAAGCATAAAATTTCTGTACCTAGCATGGCATGCAATTCAGCAGAACAAACAGATTCTGATGTATACAGTCCTTAAATCTGTTATGTCTCAACCCATCTGCTACCTTACATGGGGGCCTGAGATATTTGTCTTCTTCCTTCAGCACACTGGTTACTCACATAGATGGTAGGCCACATGGCAGGTAAGAGGCTGATCTCAGCTGTTTCATCCCTGTCCTGCACAAATAGGGCACACACAAGTCAGATTATTATGAACCCTGTTATCCAAATCTTGAGCAATGGGATGATAAGGGCAAGGTGGGAAAATCAGGTGGCACAGGTGGTCCCATCATTCCAGACCTCCCTTCTTCAATTCCTAAACTATTAATATTAAACATTTATAAGTGTGTAACAAATGAAATTGTTATTTGCAAAGTCTCTTTTCAGCTAAGCAATTTAATACATTGATGAATTAGCAAACAGAGGAAAACAGAAAATAAATTAGAACATCATACTTTTGTTTACATTAAATGGTCACTTGTATTAATGTTTATAGCTGGTTTATCGAAGGGCAACATCCTATGATTCATTATTCATCAATATTAATGAACCTATTGTCCTTTACTTTTAATAAAGATTTTTTCTCACAGCGTAACTCCAGTACAATTTTTGAAGGATGTTTTGAGAACGTCAAGGAGCTGAAACTGGAGACTACCACTGACAAGGGAAGAGCATGTTACAGAGAAGACATGTCCCTGTGTTTGTAAATAAAAGCACAGGTAAATACCAATAGAAGTTATTTTATTTACTGTCATTAAATCAAAAATAAATGCACCTCCTGAAACCCATACTCCAGTAAACACTCACAGAAGGCACAGCACAACCACTGGCAGACCTGGATGTGTAGTGGCTGCAGGCTTGGTAGGAAAGGTGGATGCTGCTAATACCCTTTGTTCTATAAAACATCAAAGCTCCCATTCTGCCAGGGCCTGTTCAGTCTACTTACTTCAATAGAATGGTCTGACTCCATGGGAGAAGAAAGGAAAAGAAACCTCCACGCATGGGGATTTTCAAGACCTGACAGCAGAAAACCCTGAGAAACCTGGCATGATCCCAGAGCTGGTCCTGCTTTGGGCACAGGGTTGGACCAGATACCTCCTGGGGGCCCTTGTAACCCAAAGGATTCCATGAGAAAGGAGACATAGGAACGAGGAGCCATAACCCTTATCCCTTTAGATAACAGTGACAAATCTGAGAAAGCAAATAATGAGTACCTATATGTCCCCTACAGTCATCTCACAGAAAATGAGGAGGGACCCGTGTTCCAGAGTACATCACCAAGGACTTTCCACACTCAGCAGTCAAAACTTGCAACAGAATGTAGAAGAACTTTTCTTAAGGGATGTTTTAAAAGAGAAAACAATCCTTGATCTATTCTTGCAAGGAAATAAAGATTCTAGCTGGAGGAAGGCATGGAGCAACAAGTACACTCCAGATCCCTAAAGAGGCAGAACTTGTGTCATACCCTTATCCTCATTTTCTTTAAGATTATATTCAGACAAAATACAGACTGAGGAGCTGTATCATTTTCGGATCCCTTCCATGGTACCCAACTCTTCCTATTACAGTGTGTGAGAAGCCAGTAAATACCACTGCTCCACTGAGGCCAAGAGCCTAGAAATTCACTAGGGCATCATCCAGTTTGTGAGGACACTGTGGTCCCAGTGCTTGACATGAAAACAAACATCAAATAAATAAATAAATAACCCTTTTTGGTCTTTCTTCTCAAAACTCATTTTTTACATAAAACACCATTTATGTTTAGTCTGCATGGGTGAACAGGAACAGGAGCCTTACAAACCCAATTTTAGGTTGCATAAAACAGGTTTTAGGTAACTAAATTACATTCTGGAGTGCTAAACATTGTTGTGTTTTTCTTATACAGAGGCTGTTTAATTGGGTTCCCTGGACCACAGTAGCCCAGCTCTGGAGTCAGAGGTTACTGCTATGAGAACATCAGAAGGCAAAGCAGGGTTTTTTTGTATAATATATAGTAACTCAGTGACCTTTTTGGTGGAATGAGATATAAAAAGACCTATTTAACTGACTCACATGATGTCTGATAGCTGAAGCTAGAGAAATTCAGGCAAAACCACACATTTCACTAGATGAAGAGTATTTATTCTCTATCCAAGCAAATCTGTGAATCAACATTACATGCTTAGAAGGTGTGTTCAGGCAGAAGGTGAAGTTTTGATGCGAAGAACCATTTGGTAAAGTTATGGACTGAGCTGTGCAAGATGGCCAATTATTCCAGTAATGCCTTCCAGGCCATCAGTCATTTTGCTTGCAGCAGTGTTACCACCAGTTTACTACCACTAAAACCTGTATGAAGCAGAATTTCAACTAGAAAACAATAATCAGGCCTTTTCTTCACAGACTGGTCTCTTTTTCAGAACTAATCCGTGAAATAAATAGATCAAATCCCCTCTTGTTTGATCCTTTCTAAATCCTCTTTTCCTCATAAGGGGTCCATTCCCATTTTCTCTGTGAATATCCCCAAATAGCTCTCCTAGAGAAGAAGTACAAATATCCCTCCTCTGCTCCTTTTGTCTTTTTTTTTTTTTTTTAATGGGACTGTGTGCTGGCTTTTTAATTGAGATCCAGGCTCCCTGCAGGCTGCCACCTTGTTCTATAAACGTTTGTCTGGGCAGCCTCTCATTATTCACAGCTTTGGGTAATTCCATCTCCATTAGTGCTTATTAAGCCACAAACAGGAACCTTAAACACCACTGTATGGATTCTGTCTCTAGTCCTTAACCGTATTTTGGCACTTTTTGCTTGCTTCGTGTGCTAAGATTAAATGCTGACTTTGGGACAGAATTCTGTCCTTGTCTGTCCTGTTGGAGCGAATTTTGATTGTCTTGATAGTTTTGTAAAATAATCTCTGTGTAAGTACCAAAGATCTCAAACTTATCCCTCCTGTTTTGACTCAGGGCAAGGCCATTGCTCTCTGAAAACTCTTCTATGCTTGGATGAGACATTATGACAGGGGAGAAGAATCCTTTAAAATTATCACAACACTATGCCTTGTAGAAATCATTCATTTGTACTTAATTCCAAAGAACTTTGCCTGTTTGCCTCCATTTCCTATGGTAAAAATTGGAGATA